CTGTTAATAATTAAATAAATTAATAATAAAATCGGAAATCAAAATATTCCATTTTTCACCTCTTTTCAAAAGAACAATTCGGCAGAATTGTAAGAATAAAAAAATTATCCTCTTTTAGCTTTGCATGCTGCATGTTTCTACTCCATAAATAAGTTCTGGAGTTGCTGAACTGGGACTTATTTTCTGGTGCCAGGGCCTCATCCATGCTAGATAAGTACTCTGTCATTGAGCTACACTCCAGACCATATTTTCTAAAGATAATGAACAATGTTTACATGTCTTGCAAGGAGACTATCTGATATGAGAAAGCATTCTACTTATCAAACTACTAGGCAAATTCTTATAAATTGAATGCACAGTTTCCAAGCTACTTACCCAGGAAGGAACCAGTCACTTCATAAGAAGAAATCTATCTTGTAGCAGATGGACAAGTAGAATGTAGAGTTCCTCTCCATCAGCAAAGATGACATAGTGCAATCAGTTAATGATTTTATACTTTGCAGAGAAACTACTCCTCCATGGGGCACGACCCACAGAAGCAGTGAAGTAGTATCAAGGGACCTAGTTTGCACTATACACAAGTTCAGTTATTTATGTTTCCTGAGAATTAATTATAGGTGAAAATTAAAAACACTGGATTTACCTATCACTTTTCTTCTTTGCTACAAAATTAGAGATATTCAAAAAAGATATTCTTTTGGTGGATAGTTGTATTCTTATCAACATGAGAAATAGTTGAGACTTAAATTTTAAATAAATTATTATTTCAGGAAGGAGCTCTAAATAGTGATTCTAGGGAGGGACAAGTTGCGAAGAGAAATTCCACAAAGAAAAATACTCTAGCTAAGGACCCCCAAGGAACTTAGCCAACAGCATTTGGTATGGACAGTTAATAAGTTTTCAAGAAATGCTTCTAGTTATATTTGTGATCCAGCAGAGCAATTACAGTCACAATAGGCCAAGAATGTGAAGATTTTTTTAAACAAAAAGAATAGTAAAAGTGACTCTCTTAAGGACACAAATAAAGAAAAAATTCCAGAACTTGTTCCTGGAGTACAAAACTGCATAATGTTAGAAGCACTTCTGCAATCTGTCAAAGACAAATTGAATGTTTATGAAGGAGACAACCTGGCAAGCATTAGACTATGCAAATACTATGGCTTCCCAGAGCACTAGACCTGGCTCTGATTATTGCTTATAACAGATAAGCTATAGAATTTGGAACAGTTGCCTAAACTCTTCAAGAATTAAGGGTTCTAATCTATAAGTTTTAAGGAGTGTTGAAACATTTAGAATATTAATAGAACACATTCTGTCACTCACTTGGGGCACAGTAGGCAATCAAAAAGTGTCCATTTCTTCTATGTCTTTTATTTTGCATCTTATTTGTATTTATGCTCTTTATTCGATTTGATTACGAAGATTCCCTTTTATTTTGCTTTCAGAATGATTCTTAAGGAAATCATGTTTTATCCCAGTGTCCCGGAAAAGCTTGAACAACTACCTTTCCATCTCGGCAACAGCTCTGTTCCCTCTTCTCCCCAGGCTGAGCACTTCAGACTCTTCTTAGGTAAGCAAGGAGGGAAAGAGCCATGGTGAGAAGGCACAGGACTGATTTTGTGAGCGTGATTTTGAGAGCTGGGACTGAGGAGGAAAATAATCACTTTTTCCTGACAGAAGATTCAACTATCACTTTTTATACACTGTTATCAAAAATAACGGAGACTAAAAGTAAGCTTTTCCAGAGCAGCACAGACTTCACGCTGAGACTGGACAGCTTCCGCGACAGGGACCCCTCAACAGTTCCCGATGTGAGACCAGGAGACAGGCTGCCCAATGCCAGTTGCTGTTCTTGCAGTTTTTGCTTCTATTGTCCTTTGTGTAGCAAACAATGCCTGGTATCCTAAAGACTCTGGTATCCCAGAGTCCAGCTGGGCCATTTTTCTCAGTGTGATGAGACCCCGTGACAGCTAACACAGGTTATATGGAGCCACTTCCAGGACTGGCACTATAGTACTTGTTCTTGAGAGATGGTGTTACATATTCTTTTTACACTGAGCTGTCTAGTTTGCCTCTTTTCATTCATATCTCTATTAGCATCAAAATGTTATAATGAAGTAGGACAAAAGAGTTCAAAATGTAGAATTTGAAATTTCAACCTATTTCAATGTTTCCCATTCACCGAATACATAGAGCTTCATAGCAGGGCACATAAGGGACTCCTCAGCCTACACCCCACATCCTTCACCTTCTGCATGGGGAGGATAAGCTGATTTTATCCCCCCACACACAGACAGTTGTTCCCTTTGCTCATTCTATGTCCTGTGACAGTACTGTGCCAGCTTAAGTTGGAAACAATTTCCCCAAATGTGTGCAAGATTTGGAAAGTGAAGTTATGGCTCTCATACTGTGTTTGTAGGCAGATGTCAAGCTGATCAGACAGAGGTACCGGACAGGCTGCAGCTGGAAATCCCCTGACTCTGCTCTGTGCCCAGTTTATCTTCCTGACTGCTAACGCTGCCGAGAAATAGTGGTCCCAAGTCTACCATCAAGTTCACAGGCAAGGACTTAGAGAGAAGCTAAGGAGCAACTTCCCACCACGGGCTTCTCCTCCAGCTCCAACTTTAAGCTTCCACCCAATGAGTGAGAAGTGCCTGCTTCAGTTGTCCTTGCATACAGATCATCAGGAAGTTGCCTTAGGGCTCCTTCACTGATGCCCAAGTTCTCCCACCTCAGCTTTTCCCACAAATCTAACAGAAACTCTAGTTTGTTTGATTGGACTTGATGGCACACGTTCCTTTGGCTTGAATTGCGTATGGTCTTCTCTAACCTCTGAGTCAAGCTAGATTTCCTCCTCCATGTTCTTGTAGCTCGCTGAGCTTGGCTCTGTCATAACCCATATTCCCCCTCAGAGTAAGCGAGTGGCTTTGGCCCCTGCTGTTAAGTGATAAGTTCTCTGAGGGCAGGGTTTGAATTTTATTCATCTCTGAATCACAAGCCCACAGAGCAGGACTTGGCACATAGTAGGTCCTCAATGAGTATTTATTGAGGCTTCTGAGACACAGCCACAGTACCCATAGCAGTTCACCCTCCTGAGACAGCAGCTACTCTGCTCAACCTAGATGAGTCTTGCAAAGAGGACCGCTGAGGACTTATGATGTGCTTCCTCATCTCTCTTTGCAATTGCCCAGGGAGATTCTCAGAGAAGCAACTGAAACAATGTTCATGGTCAAGCTTGTAAACTTTAAATCTTTTATTTTTTTTAGAGAGAAAAAAAACATAAACATAACAACATTTTGTCTCTACCAGAAGCTTCTAACGTTTCCTTGATTTCATGCTATTTGGCTTTGTTGTTAGTGAGTAAAAGAAAATACTGGTCTAGAAAAAACACCACACCATGACCTCAGATTCCAGTTCCCTTCTCACGTATTTTATGTTATTTCAGGGATCCACTGAGAAATGAGCATCTGCTGAATGAATGGCTGCTCTTCCTAATCAGTGTGCTAAGTGCGGATGTCCTTTTTGAACTTCCTTGTGCAACATGACCCGGAAGATGCTCCCACCATCACTGGGTGATCGACTGCCCTTCAGGACCTCTGATGCTGTCAACTTGGGGCAAAGCCTAAGGAGCCCCTCTTGCTCCCTTGATTCTTCCTACAGAAGGACGACCTTAACCTGAATGCTAAGGAGCAAAGCAAAGTTAAATCTCCTAGAGGATTAAATAATTGGAATCAGAAGAGAATAAACCAGCTGGTAAACATCTCAAAACCCAGTGGTTTTCAAATAAGGTCCTGTGATTAATAATAGTAATTAACTGAAATTTCTCAGTACCTGATTGTGCTGTATTCAAATTATCAAATGACCAATACTGAACCTGGAAGTTAAAATGTTCAATAGAACAGGTAGATCCAGAGAGTCTTGGGGAAAATCGCAAATATATAGAGATATTTTATTAAAGGTGTTTTGGAGTAATGAGTCATTTCCCAGTAGGCACACTGGAGCAAAGGCAGATTTGAAAAAGCAAAGTACATGAAAGTTTCCTTTAGAATTTATGTGCCTAGAATTTACATGCATTCTGTATAAGAGAAATGTGATGTCCTTTGGCCAGGCTAGAGGATAAAGAATGTCTAGGCAATTTTTCTGATATTACTACAGAAATTGTTGTAAAAGATGAAGATGAAACTTCGTTTACAGGGTAGAAAGAAGAGTAATACGCAACATGGGGACAAGAGATACTCTCCTAAGGCTCTGGCAGAGAACGGACTTCAGTCCTGAAAATGACGTTTGCATACACTCACATTTACACACACATGCACACACACACACACAATTCCAGAAGACATCCCTTGCATGTATACACACTAGACACATGTACACAAGGATTAAAACTATATCTTGGGAGAAGGCAATAATATTTTAGCAAATTCTTTTACCCATTCTTCTCACTTAATGACAGTCCAATTTTATCAAATATTTCAAACTTCACATAATTCTTCATGAAAAAGGTCCAAGTCAGAAACAATGAAATTGGAAGTGACTACAACTGTCTGTTTCCTTCTCATCTCCCTTGTCGCTCAGATGCTCCAAGAGCAGGCTACCTCCAACTCGCTGAATCAGCAGTAATCTCAGAGAGACTGGGAATGACCCGTATAGTATACGGTTGTCAGTGATTAAAAAGACCAAATGTGGCTTCCCTCTAAGGTTTATAAGTGAAGGTGAGAAAATCATTCATTGAATTAAATCAAGGCAGTGAGTTTTTCAATCCCTATTTTTGAAAGTTCAGAAATTAGCAATCTTTGGAAAGAGTTTATTTTTGGTGAAGCCTTTCTCAGAAGCCGAGATGTAAACCATTTTGGTAGTTTAGATTTCCGAGTAGGACTAGGTCTATTGTTCACACGTAGCTGTCCATTACAGCATCTGACAGAATCTCCTCATCTAGTGAGTGCATGCCAATATATTTGAGGAGAAAGCATTGAAGCTTTGCAAATAAAGAACATTGCCTAAGAATGGGCAGGAAACAAGCTCAGAGTGGAAGAATCAGGCCTAAAGATCTTCCCTGTGACAAGCATCCTCAGTGCCTTGCGAAACCAAGGGTAAAACATACCATAAATAATGGGATTGAAAGTAGAATTGGAATAACCCAACCAGAGGAAGACATTACACAAATCTTCCGGGGTTGTAAAATCAATGAAAGGGTCTACGATGGTCAAGACAAAGAAAGGCAGCCAGCACACCACAAACACTCCCATGACTGTGCTTAGAGTCTTGGTGGCCTTGCTTTCTCTTTTGGAGGTGGGTTTCATTCTGCTTTCTGAGTCAGCCTGTTTTGTCCTAGGAACTGTGTCAATTTGCTTGGCATGCTTCCTGGCTACTATGAAAATGTGTGTGTAAATCCCCACCATGACTGTCCCAGGAATAAAGAAAGATATAAAGGAAACCAGAACCCCCCAGAGCTTGTTAAATATCAACACACACAAACCTGTGCAGTCAATGGCTGCAATAAAATCCTCTGCACCAATTATGTTTAATCCTGAGAAGACCAGGCCAAAGGCAAAAAAGATGGGAATGGACCAACTGATAAGCAGGAAGAACTCTATGACAGGCACAGTGATTCTGGTGACATAGTGCAGAGGCTCACACACGGCATAGTAGCGGTCAACTGAGATGAAGCAGAGGTGAAAAATAGAGGTGGTGCAGAGCAGGATGTCGCAGCAGCTGTGAAGTTTGCAGAAGAGGTCTCCGAAGTACCAGCAGGAATGGATGGACCTGACCATACTGAAGGGCATGACCACACAACTCAGCAAAAAGTCAGTAGTAGCCATGGAGAGGGTGAGGAAGTTGGTTGGGGAGTGGAGCTGCTTGAAGTGGGCAATGGAAACGATCACAGCCATGTTGCCCAGCATGGTCATCCCTGTAGCAAGTGTCATGACCACATACATGGCAAAGACAACTGGCATGGGCCTTTCATTTCTAGGGCATGAAGTATTAACCAATGGAAAGCAAACCTGTGCTTCTGGAGGGTTCCTAAGGTAAGGTAAACTCATGGTGTTTGTTTTGTGAGTACTGAGCCTCTCAAAAGAGCTGTACTCCTTTCTTTCTGTAAAAGAAAACAAAATAACAATAACCAGCAGGACAATTCTTACAGATGTCCATTGCATTTCCAATCCAAGTTTGAAATCTCTACTGCCTAAGAATGCTAGTTCCCATACCTTTGTGGCCAGAGGAATCACTGGAATCATCTAAAACACTACCCAGTGTTTTAGAACACTGGGTAGCGTTCTAAAACAGAGATTCTGATTCTGGGTTAGAGGCTGAAAACTGGCATTCTCACAAGTGCTCAGGGGAATCCGCTTCTGTTGTGTTGGTCTATATTCTGTTTCTGTCTGGGGTGACAGGTCCCGAGAATGAGGTGCTCATGGATGAAAAGAAAAACAAGAGAGAGACAGTTATGGGATCAGGGGGCTTGCAGCCTCTCAGACTGAAGCCTCGATTACCATTTTCAGTAACCTTTTACTGAGAAAGAACAAAGGAAGCAGCAGGGCAAATGGGAGGATATCAACAGGATTAGTAAAGACAATACAGCTCAGTTATCACAGGAATGAGACTTGACTTAGTTAGCCATCATGTAATCATTCCATTGGGCATATCTCAGCAAAGCATCTAGTGTTGTCCCCAGCCTTCCGCAGGGACAGAGGTTCTGCAATCATTTCCTTTACACCAATGCTTTTGCTAGACTTCCTCCAGAATCAATCATATGGCTTGGTCAGGCCTGAGGTAATACATTGAAAGATAAACTAAAGAATGTCCTTCTCCACACTGTGGGTCCTATGATCACTCCTGGCAAAAGGAGGGGCAGAAGAAAACGGAATCAATATTCAGTCACCCAGTACCCAAATGGGACAGGAAAGATTCTTGGTCTGCTTGTGAATTGGGAATCCCAAGTATCAGCAAACTATTAGTGTAACTAGTACATGCATGCGCGTGCTACTTGAGTAAAAGTCCTCAATAATCACACATGCTTTGGTACTATTATAGTTATTTTTACATTTCACTTAGACAGTAACTATAATTTGAAGACTGTGCTGTGTCTTTGTTTAAAACTTCTCTGTGGGCAATGGCAAACGTCTTTGATCTTGCCATCTATTATATACTGTTCAGTTAAGGAAACACTCCTCTCTTCAAAGTGAAGAACATAATTTCTAAAATTTAACATGATTGTGTGGTAAGAAAAATATGCTTATGATTGTAAGATTGTACATGAATAATTTCCAAGTGTGTGTGTGAGGGGGGAGTAACTCAAATGATAGAATCTGTAAATCTCATGAGTTATTTCCTTTCATATAGTGGCTCATCCATGATTCCAACTCAGGCTGAGGATCATTGGCCACAGATTTCACGTCTTACCTTGGCAACCACCTTGATTTATGAGGGTCTCGTTGGTTGACCCATTATTTTGTACCCTTAATGCTGTTGTCCTTAGGACGTGCAGATAATGAGACTGACTCACCCAGAGAGTGACAAGGATTGGATTTGTTTTTCTAGGCTTGAAGCTCGATGCGTAATTCTGATGGCCTATGGCAGGCATTTGTGAGACTCAACACCAGGTTGGAAGGTAAACTTTGACCTGAGAATGCATTAAAACTCAGTGATCTTTAGGCGGAAACAAATCCATAAGCATGTCCTCATCATTTACGAAGAACAGACAGCAATGAGAATACAAACACTTCTGAAATAAGTTCCTCACCATTTGCTTCAGTAGCTCAATAAGTATTTTAAAGCCTGTATATTATTAGAAATCTTAATAGCAGGACATAATTTATTTTCTCAGAATGTAGTAATTTAGTTTCTTCTGCTTAGTATTCCTCTAAAGATATTTTTTAATTGTAACAACAAAATATTATGCAAGTAAATCAAGAGACCAGAACATAGTAAACTAAAATATAAAAAGGATAAAGTTTTATGCAGTTCTTTTATGAAGTGCAGACTATCAATCAGAACACACATTAAAAATATTTGATTACACAACATTTTGATCTAAGAGGCAGAAAATACTGAAATCCTAACTTCCTAATTCTCTTACTTAATAAACTAACTTTATCCTGTACGTTACTACTTTATTTGATGCCAAAAAGTTTAATTTTTTAAAAGTTCTCTTAAGAATTATCTTTGCAGATAGCTAAGAATTATCATTACATTACATAAAGATTTGTGTTTCCCAATACAAAATCATATGCTTTTCAATACTCTATTGTACAGTATTTGAAGTTTTAAATTTTAACTTTAAACTGTAACTCCTGAAAGAATCACTGTATTTTAACTCCCTAGGTGTACAAGATGAAGTCCATTTTGTAGACACATAGAATTAACCACTTTCAGAAACTACTATAACATAATAGTATAATTAATTCTCCCATGCACCTGTTGCATAGCTATGTGTATTAGGGAAATAAATGAAAAGCTAAGTGTTAGACTGCCATATGAAGATAGCTGAAAAACACACAAGAGTGAATCATTAAGGAAATGTCAAACATAAGACTTAATATTAACTCCCTATCACAAGCACTTGGGCAAAAATTAAAAAACAAGAAATAACCAAAACGACTGTGACTGCTAGCCTACTGTTTGTGAAAAAGAATTTTTATTAAGGCAAATGGAGATTTTGTTTGCTATTTTAATACTTGACAAGATAGAGTTCTCTGTCCTTTAGAGATTTACTTTGTCAAAAGTTTGTGCATTAATTTCTTAACAAAATAAGTCATAGGGTAGGGCATGCCTATAATCCCATAATTTTCCTAAGGAGGAAAATTACTGTGAGTTTGACGGCACCCTCAGTTGGCTACAAAGTGAGTTCAAGACCAGCCTGAACTGCATAGTGAAATTCTGTCTCAAAAAAGACAAAAAAAAAAAAGTTTGACAAGATAAAACAAAACTAAATCTTACATAAACTGTCACTTTTATATGAGACATTTTGTTTGCTTTTTTCATTTTTAACCGATAACATTTTTTCCACAAGCATCAGCAACAAAAGACTTAGTTAATTACACTACTGCACACAATCACCTAAAAAACATAATAATTATTGGCTATTTCTTACAAAACATACTAAACAACATGTGCTAACAATTCTGGGGAAGAGAAAGAATTGCATAATTTGTAGGTCAAATTTAGACCATTAAGGAAGAAAACTATGGACCAACGAAGCAGCCACAACTCCAAAAGAATGATTTTAAAGCTGTAGAGGTTTCTCTCAATTTCAAAAAAACAAATAAATTTAAAAAGAATAAGATAATAATTTTTTTACAAGCAATAAATGACTAAAATATATTCATACAAATAAAATTGGAAAATACTCCACAAGAGTCTATTATCAATAGCTGGAAAAATTAAAAGACACATCATATTTGTTTAATAGAACAAAGTTTTTTACTTTTTACTGCTTACCGTCCTCAGACACTTTACTTCAGGGACTATTTCTGCGAAAGTAATGAGTTTTACGTTCGTTTGATGTATCTCACATATTCAGTTGCTCCTTAGGTAGGGAAGCTAATCTGTAAAATAAATTTAAGAGAGATCTGAAGTAGTTATTACTATCACTGCCGCTTTAGATGACCGGGGATTTTTAAAAACTAATCCAGAATTATTCTTATAGGTGGATACTTTAAATTTTATTCCTTTCAACATGAAAACGCAAAGAACAGTCTGATCTTTTTACCACTCTCCTACATTTTCCTTTGTTTAAAGAGCGTGTGCACAGACTTCTCCACTGCCAGGGAGTGTGGTGCTGGCTCTGCTCCTCCCCATGCGCGTGTCGCCAGCGCAGAAGCTAACGCGCCCACGCTCCTGCACCGAGGTCCTGGCAGGCTGTGCTGTCGGAAGATTTAAGCACAAAACATGCCCCGTGGGCTCTACAGCCCACGTCCCGCTTTGACAGGTGCGTCTCTTCACACCCTGCAGGGCGCTGCCAACAAAGACATCACAGGAAGTCACCGGGGAATTGGCCCTGGGAGGGTGGATGAGTTTTGTGCTCTCATTGCTATGCCTTTGGGGGCTAAACGGACCAGCACACAAGGCCAAAGGTGGGGAAGAAGGAGAAACAGGAGGGAGGGAAGAAAGAGGGGGAAAAAATGGGAGAAGGGCAAGAGGAAGGAGAATATTTAATTTAAAACCACAAGTGCTCACTATATTTTTTAACAAATGGGAGATAATGTTTACAAACTGTTAATTCTGTAATCCCTACTGAAAATCACTCACTAATATCTCTTCCTTTGCTACTGTGCACAAGTCATGGATATTCCTTCAAACCAGCTCCTTACGTTTATAGCTCTTCAAATAAAAATCAAAGAAAAATCTTTTAAGACACCTAGATGAAAAGTGAAAACGACCATCACCATGTGGATATTTTCCTGATCACTGGGGAAAGTGTTTGCTTCAGCATGTCATAGCTCCATCCAATTAGCTTCAAATCATTTACATCAATAAATGCACCACCATCAAGACAACAGAACCGTTACATTTAAACGCACAATGTCTAGAAACGTCAAGGTTTAAGTATTTGTGGAAGAGAATCAAATTCAAGCTGTTCATACTCAATCAAATTTGGTGGTGGGGGTAACTCAATGCAGAAGTGTGGACCTTTGCAGCCTTGGGATTGACACAAAGCACATACACAAAAAATAGTCCACTTTTTAAAAAGTAATGTTACTAAATTTCTGAGGATTTTCTTAATGAAGTTAAACATTGCGGTCAGTAAGGATGGCTGCTGTATGTCATTTTCATTTTTTGTTGAGCTTTTACGAAGGATGAACAAACTTGCCTTCCAAACTTCTTGCCAGAGAGTGGCCTCATGAATTTATAGCATATCTTTGGAACATTTAATTGTTGCTATCAGCAGAATTATTATTTTACAGAAATGCAAGCTTTTAGAAGAAGGTTTAATGCTGTTTTACCAACATTTTTTTGCTATATGTTAACTTCGGAGGCATCAAAAAGATCATAATGTATTTACTCCCAGAAAGAAGAGTGATAGAATCATAGAAATGCAGTA